CCTCTCTGCATTCTATGTGTTTTTGTAACAAAATTTTTTACAAATATTTTTTACAGATTCTTTTACAAATTTTTTACAGATTCTTTTCACAAATGTTTTGTTTTTTTTACAAAATCTGCCGCAAATTTGTTCAAAAAAAATCTACTGCATTTTTGTTCCAAAAAATCTACTGCAAATTTGTTAAAAAAATATGCTGCAAATTTGTTAAAAAAATATGCTACAAATTTGTTAAAAAAATATGCTGCAAATTTGTTCAATTGGACCATGTTGTGTTTTATAAAATTTTGTGCTTATATAATGTGTTTTGTATGTTATGGAACTTTGTGTTTATTGGACAATGTTGTGTGTTATAGAACTTTGTGTTTATATAATATGCTTTGTGTGACTATGTTATGTTGTCTTGAGTAGTAGGATGGAGGAGGGCAATGCTAGTAGCGGCGGAAGGGGTCGGAACAAACGCTATTTGATTCCCCTGTTTTGAACCAAACACGAACAAAGGGAATTCTATTCCCTTTCCTGTACTGAACCAAACAGACAGAGTAATTCAGGGGTAATCATTCATTTCCCCCCGATTCCCTTTCCTGTTTCCTTTCCCTTTCCTTAGCATGAACCAAACGCCCCCTTAAAACAATTCCCTCAAGCTAAAATGCAAAACGGATTATTGTACGAGAGTCAGAAAAAAAGAGAATCTTAGGAATGATAAAAAATTGATATTAAAAAATCAACAAATCAAAAAATCATACTGTAACTGATAATTATCTTCACACAAAAAATTAAACAAATACAAAGTATTTCTTTTGATGAATAAATCCTAGGAAGAAAAACATTAAGACGGAGGAATGGGTGATTTACCTTCATAAAATGGCGGCGAGCAGGCGGAGCAGAGGCGATTTATCTTGACGGGTTGATCCAGGTCGGTGGCGTTCGGCGTTGGCGGCTTTCAGCGCCCGTCGATGGTGGAATTCGGCTCTTGCTCTTTGACAGTCCACTTGTGGTGTACTGGGCGTCTGCGTACTTGGGAAGGCGGTATAAGACTAGGTTTTCGAAACAAGTACTCATTTTACTGTTTATTTCGAAGTAAAAGTAGATTTATTTTGAAATAAGGTGGAATTCATTTAGAATTAATATACTTCCTCCCTCCGGATTTTAAGTATCCATTCTATACTTTTTTCGTCTGAAAATAAAGTTTTCATTCTACGTTTTTATACCCACTCTTCTTAAAGTACCCTCTCATTATCCAAAACTCACTCATCCTCTTCTCCCCCCTCTCTCTCTTTCCCCCACCCTCCCCCCTTTTCTTCTTCTCCTTTCTTTCCCGTTCCATTTTCCCGATCAGCTTCTGTATGTCCTCCCTCACTTCAATCTTCTTCTTCTCTCTCCTTCTCTTTCCTATTCCCCATCTTCTCTTTCTTTTCTTCTTCTCCTTTCTTCTCCGGTAAGTTTTCTCGATTGGCACCTTCACTCTAGCTTCTGCTTCTCTTTCCATCCAGATCTGCACCTAGGTTGCACGGATTTGGGTCTTCACTGCCGCCTCCCACACCGAAATCATCGCGGGCATGGATTCGCCGGCGGGGACGGCAGTTGGCGTACCGGAAACGCACCTGGATCCGCAGACCTCTACTCTACTGCCTGGCCGCCGATTGCTTCTTCCAAAGGAACCGATCCAGCCGCCAACTCGCTTGATCTGTTTCTCCTTTTTCGCCTAACTTCCTCACAGATATTCTTCCTCGGAAAGCTCCTGCGGCGGACGGAGCTGACGGTGGTGGTGCGGCAGGTAGAGCTAACGGTGATGGTGTGGGTTGGGTCATTGGGGCGATTGGGAGCTGGGGTGGTTGTGTGGGCTTAGGGGATGGATAACAGGGAAGGGTATTGTGGACATTTTCATCCCAAAGTCAACGCCCAATAAAAATAACCAAAAGTCAAAATGGGTACTTAAAATCCGGACTGAAGGAGTAATATTCATTTTCACACAATGTTTATTATCATTTTAATATTCGTTTACGAATAATATAGTGTTCATTCTGAAACAACGTAGTGTTTATTTTCAAATAATGTAGTATTTTTTCTAAAACAATGTATTATTCATACCACTCAATAAGTCGTTGAAAATGAATATAATACTACACAAATACAAATGAGTAACAAGACATAACAAAATGAGTTCACACAAGAATGAGCAGAATTCAATTCATTTAAACTCACCTTCTCCCTCCATCCTCACTTAGCCTTGTTGTCTTCGAGCTTCTCCTATCAACCCAATACAGATGTGTCTTCTCGATCAATCCAAGATTTTGCATTTTTCATCATCGAGCTCTACATTCTCCCCTTGTTCTTGCCAAATTGACACAAGGTAGGGCGATGGTTTGCATCGCCCAATTCTGGCTGGGTCATGGCTCTCGTCTCTTCTTCTCGATTGACCTCTTCGTTGTTGTTGCTTAATTTACGCTAGTTGTACGGGAAGAATAATAGAGCCGAATATACGTTATAAATTTTCGTGTTTGAAAAATGTGCATCGTTATCTACTTACTCCTCATGATTTAAAACTTACGTCGTTACCTCTCATGATTTTGATATTGCTACGTCAATGCTCCTCTAGATTTTCAAATGTTAGATGAATAGTTTTGATGTCGCTTATGATTTTGGAAATGGAAACCAACACCCCTCTCTTTTTTTCTTTATTAATTTTCTTTTTTCTAGTATTTTTTTCATAATTTTTTTAAATTTCTTTTTTTAAAATTATTTTGTATAATGTTTTGTGTTTGCAATTAAGATCAATTAAATAAAAAGAATTAACGAACACTTCATTTGTTTGAAATTAAATATTTTCCATTTTTGTCCAAAATGGGTTTTTAATAGTTCATTTTTCACTATACAAAAATTAATGAAAAATTTTCTTTTTACACTAAAGCTTATTTCTCATTTTCAGGTAATTTTCTAATTTCTTAATTTATTTGGCTCCCTTTTTTATTTTTTTAAAAAATGATTTTACACCATTTCTTTTATTTTAATAAAAATTAAAATAAAAGAAAAATGAATAGAGAAAAAAATAAAGAAAAAAAAGTATATGAAAAACAACGTTTTATTACTTCAAACACAAACATTTTTCTTCTCTGTATGAAAAAAAAAGAAAAGGAAAAAGTAAAACAATAAAGAAAAAAGACAAGAGACATTGGTGCTCATTTCCAAAACTAGAGGCAATGCAACTATTCATCTAATATTTAAAAGATATTTTCGTGAGCGTCAAACTACAAGGGTACCAAACCCACAAAAAATCCGTGAAGCCATAGGACTCTACGTAGTTGTTTATTTAGGCTTATTTTTTGTCCCCAATCTTGTGTCTATTTTCGTTTGTATTGAAATTGTATGAGATGTAATATTTTTTATCACATCACCAATAATCTCAAGAAGTTTGGAGCCAATTCAACAAATATAGAGTAAATTAGACACGTCGCACTAGCACCCATGAAAGTGGGCTACACTAATGTTCAAATAAATCTAATTGAAAATAACTTTCAGACAAACATCGTAAATAATAACAAGCAATCTAATTTGGGACAAACTCCCCGACAAAGTTTTGGGTAACAAGTGTTGCATTGTGAACGCATGCTCAAGCTTCCTAATGGTAGCAGCAAGCTAAGGCAACCTATGAACGTCACAAAAGATAGCAAATTTGCTATAAATCATTTAATCCTCTAATACTTAAGCGCGGGTTGCATCACGAATGAATTGATATCAAGCATCAATGAATCGAATATCGAATGTATCGGGATGAATCTGCCACACATTTAAAGCTGCATATTCCTCCAGACACTCTTTAAGCTGAGCCTCACTATATCCCTGTTCATATCAGGCCAGATGAATGAATGAATGATATGCAACCTCATTTTTATACATATATACTACTCCCTCTGTCCGGATTGAGCTGTCCACTTTTTTTTTAAAAAAAAACTCATTTTAAAGGATTGAGCTTAAAATATACAAAAAATCCATCAAATGTTTGTCTATCGTTCATATCCACGATGCTCATACCCTATATCTAGGATAAATTAAACAATTCAACATAAATTCTTGTTTGAATATGCAAAGTGGACAATTAATTTATGACAATTCAAGACAAGAAAATGGACAACTAAATCCAGAAGGAGGGATAATTGAGTAGAGTGACTGGCAAGCAAGTGAAAAAATGCCCAAACTTAAGCGATTAAAAAAAATCTAACTCATTCTCAAAATATTTTCTCCTAAACTCTGCCCAAAAAAACAAGATATCCAATTGAAGGGAAACTTACCTTCCTATTAATCCAATTGAGTGCCTGTAGATAGCTGACATCCATCCTGTTAACCCTGGCTGCTTCATCACGCAAGATTGAATAAATGTCAGATATTGCATCCAAACCAGATCTTTGACGATCATCTGAATACAATGAGAATTTTGACATTTGCATTAAGCGGAGTGCCTCATCCACATCACTTTGAGCAACAGCTTCAGAAAACCTGAGTCTGGCTAGTGCCTGTAAAATAACATGGGAAGTGAAATAACTCCAGCCACAAATATGAGTGAGGCAAAAACAAAAAAGATTATTTATATTTGTTATGTGAAATACAACTCACTGCTGAAATCCTAAGGATACTGAGGAGTGTTCTGACGGTTGTATAAGAGTGAGGGGTATTGGATTTTGCTTCCTCTTGTCTAATGCTAGAATACGCACTGGCTATATATTCCTCCAGTTCTCTTGGGAGATATGGAGACAATTTCCTTGCAGTTGAAACGTAGGCCCTGAACACAATGTAATCATTCAGAGCAAAACATGCTATTAAACAAGAGTAAAGTTCATATTCTATTATACGTCATATCTGACTTTAACACAAATCATCAATTGAAGGGATCGTATTAATGTTAAAATTTCAAAACAGCATCAATACATCATACTTACCGAAGCAAGGATGGTTCTAAAGGAGTGAATCCAAGGGCAGGTGATTCATTGTATTGATGAACATGGACAACATGCCTAGCCAGATCGAGGTCAATATCCATGTCGGCACGGTCCAAGATCAACCACATGAGGTCAAATCTAGATAACAGGGCTGGAGGAAGATTAATGTTTTCAGCTGGTGTTCGCCGTAGGTCATATCTTCCCCTGAAATGGGTGTCCAAGTTTAAAAGGATTCATTATAACTGTGTACATAGTCACAATTTAGTTCCTCTTGTTTTAGACAAAATGGCTGCATTTTTTTATTCTACACATGTCCCTGATATAGGAGGCTAAAACTAGGAGAAACAATCAATGAGCTTCAGTGTTTTTTAAAAGAGCAGGAGAATATCAACTACCAGGCAGGATTAGCAGCAGCAAGGACAGCAGTCCTTGCATTCAAAGATGTGGTAATCCCAGCTTTGGCAATGCTAACAGTCTGCTGCTCCATCACCTCGTGTATGGCTGTTCTGTCCGACTCATCCATCTTGTCAAACTCATCAATAGCACATATACCCATGTCTGCCAATACCTGATACAATGATGTTAACGTCATCCCCAAAGAAACTCACCATAGGAGAAATGCATTCCTTATGAAAACATGCAATTCTTTGTTTCTTACCAGTGCCCCTCCTTCCAAAACCATTTCGTTTGTTACTGGATCCTTCTGAACGGCTGCAGTCAGACCTACACCACTGCTTCCTTTTCCTGTTGTATAAACACCTCGTGGTGCAACATTAATTATGTGCTTAAGAAGCTGACTTTTTGCAACCCCTGGGTCACCCATCAAACATATGTGAATATCTCCTCGGATCTGCATTTAGAGAAGTCATAATGTATTGAACGAAGGCAAAATAGCAAAGGAGACTAGAGGTCTGAAGCTTAATCATGTCATGAAGTGTATGCATCAGAAGAGAAACATTGATTATTGTAATATTGCATGCTTAATTCATTAACCTTGAGTTTTAATCTAAAACACGCTGGACTAAAAGTACTCCTTTGTAATTACCTTCATCCCATCCTTCAACTTTCGATGAGGAG